TTAAATGCATTTACAGAGATAGATATGAAGAGCCTGAGATAATAGGAAGAAATTTAGATAGATATGAAGAGATTGAGATAAATAGACAGAAACAAATAGATATGAAGGGATTGAGAAGGATAGATATGAAGGGATTGAGATTGATAGATAGATAGATAGATATGAAGGGATTGAGATCGATAGATAGATATGAAGGGATTGAGATCGATAGATATGAAGAGATTGAGATAAATAGACAGAAACACATAGATATGAAGGGATTGAGATAGAAAGATAGATAGATATGAAGGAATTGAGAAAGATAGATAGATATGAAGGAATTGAGAAAGATAGAAAGATATGAAGGAATTGAGAAAGATATGAAGGAATTGAGAAAGATAGATAGATATGAAGGAATTGAGAAAGATAGATAGATATGAAGGAATTGAGAAAGATAGATAGATATGAAGGAATTGAGAAAGATAGATAGATATGAAGGAATTGAGAAAGATAGATATGAAGGAATTGAGATAGATAGATATGAAGGGATTGAGATTGATAGATAGATAGATATGAAGGGATTGAGATCGATAGATAGATAGATAGATATGAAGGGATTGAGATTGATAGATATGAAGAGACAGAAACAAATAGATATGAAGGGATTGAGATAGAAAGATAGATAGATATGAAGGAATTGAGAAAGATAGATATGAAGGAATTGAGAAAGATAGATATGAAGGAATTGAGAAAGATAGATATGAAGGAATTGAGAAAGATAGATATGAAGGAATTGAGAAAGATAGATATGAAGGAATTGAGAAAGATAGATATGAAGAGATAGATATGAAGGGATTGAGATTGATAGATAGATAGATATGAAGAGATTGAGATAAATAGACAGAAAAAAATAGATATGAAGGGATTGAGATAGAAAGATAGATATGAAGGAATTGAGAAAGATAGATAGATGTGAAGGAATTGAGAAAGATAGATAGATATGAAGGAATTGAGAAAGATAGATAGATATGAAGGAATTGAGAAAGATAGATATGAAGGAATTAGATAGCGAGATATGAAGAAATTGCAATAGATAGATATGAAGAGATAGATAGATAGATAGATATGAAGGGAATCAGATAGATATATATGAATGGATTTAGATATATGGATAGAAAGGGTTGAGATAGAAACTTAAAGCCATCTATATCTTAAATCTCTAGGGATAAATTCCATGTATTTCTTTGAATGGAGAAGGACCTGGCAACAAGACATAAAAGATCAGTTCAGTCAACTGAGAGAATTGAAAGCTATTCAAAAATTGAGGAAAAAAAACAACAACGAAATAATCTCACACCAGCCACGTTGTTTGACAACACAATCCACTGCCCAAATTGTGGACTGATACACAAATCTCCTGCTGGATTGGCACCCCACAGGATCCACAATAAAGAGAACTAAATAACAGTGAAATTTTGGACACTCAGGCATTGAAACCAATGGGAGAATCCATGATGATGATCACACACACACACACACATATATATATATATACACACACACACTTTCACAGCCATATTTTGTCACATATCCACAGAATAAAATAAATATAATATATATATATATATATATATATATATATAATAATAAAATATACTAAAACAAAACTGGCAGTGACAGCATTTTTGTTTGTTATTTATTTCAACCTTTCTGTTTTTTTATTTCTTTTTTTTCCATTTTTTCCTACAATAAAGAGAAAATCAGCTGTTAAAAGTTGATGGATTGAAATTGCTCATGTTGTGTATTGTAGCTGGGTGCCTTGGTGTGCATGGGTAGGGTTCATGGTTGAGTTAGAGGTATACAGGGTGCTTGTGCTGGAAAGATTACACCCAGGTCCAGTGGTTAATAACTCTCATTTCTCCTTTTCTGTTTTATGAAATCAATATTAAGAAAAAAAAAAAAAAAATCAAGGTGATTTTTTTCTTCTCATATTGACAAACAGAAATGTATTTTGTTTGTTTCCTGTTATTATGTCTCTTTATCGTTTATTTTTCATTTTCTAATATCTCCATTTTTTTTTTTTTCTAATCATTTTTGGTTTTTTTATCATATCACCTGAATCAAGGTGATAATGCCAGTAATATACCAGGAGTTACTGAGAATGAAAAAGAACAAGAAGGCTTTAGTGACGAGGAAGGACAAAAAAAATGAAGAGGATTCAGGAAGATAGAAGATGGTGATTGACATTGCATTTAAATTTTTGAAGATTGCAAGTGGCAAGGAAATAAGAAACCGGAAGAGATTTCCACAGGTGAGAAATGTTAGAAAAGAAACTGTAACAAGAGGAGAGCTAAGGGAGAAAAAGCTATTGTCTCATTTACATTTCTCCCATTATGGGCATTATTATATCTGTGATATAATAACTTATTATATTATTATATCTATGATATAATAACTTATTATATTATTATATCTGTGATATAATAACAGTGTAGTTCACAGATGGGATGGGATGGAATGCTTGACAGAAAAAAGAATGACAAACATACTTTGTTCTCAGAGAGACTTTTATACCATTAAGATATATATATATATATATATATATATATATATATATATATATATATAAGTTGCATGAATATTTCTGCTTGGGTTTAATAAACAGAAAAGAAAGACATTTCAATGAAGCTAAATTATGAGAGTGGACTGAAAAGTTCATAGACTGACAAGGAATGGGTGATGCTAGAGCTGTGAAATCTTGTATGCATTAATTTCAATTCTTCTTATTAATAACTGCAGTGATTCTTTTTAATAATTTCACGATAGGCAAGGGAATAATGCCACTAGGATGCAAGGAGTGAAAGAGAGCAAGAAGACTAATCACAAAAATAAAAACAGTTTAAATAAAAACAAGTATCATAACATTCATCAAGTGATTAGTAGATTAATGTATTTAGTTAGTAAAGGGATTTCGCCATTTTATATCATTAACTTTACTAATTTACTTTTTGTATGAATGATTCATAAGTTGAACTGCACCACATATTTGATTTAAAAGAACTGATCTGACATGAAAATTTTCAGGAAAACAACTTAGACATTACCCCATTTATTGAACTATTTAGTTGATGCCATGTTGACTGATAAAATCCTACAAAAAAAAAAAAAAAAATTTCTCAAATTGCCATATTAGTAAAAAACACACTCACTTAAATTTTCAAAAACTTCAACCTTAGCATTGTGACTGCATGCTCCACAAGTTTGTATCCGTTATCAATAACATATTTAAAAAAAAAAAAAAAAAAACATATTTCAATTCGTTTTATATTTTTTTGGCTCAAATGCTACCTGAATTCTACCAAAAACAAAATAATTCCCATGCCTGATGATGACTGGACATACAGTTGAAAGTACTTGTGTATTTAAGGAAGACCTAAGACAGTTTAAAAAAAAAAAAGAATCGTAACATTCATCAAGTGATTAGTTGGTTAATGCATCTTTAAAATTTATTTAGTGAAGGGATTTCGTCATTTTATATCATTAACTTTACTAATTTACTTTTCGTATGAATGAATCATTGTAATATAAATTGAACAGCACCACACACACACACACATATATATATATATATATATATATATATATATATAAACAAGGGACAAAACATGTCTGTTGTCTTTAACAGAACATTTTTGAACAGATAAATAGATGGGTAAGCAGTTAGATAAGAAAAGACTGATATCAATTGTTAGATATATACGAACAGATAGAGAGAGATAGATGGATACTGTGTATTGCTTGATTATTCAAATAGTAGATATATATGGATTACCATCACTGAGGATTAAGTGAGTATAAATCCTAATAAATTCCCTGTACTCCTCTCACTATTCTTTCATAGATTAAATTCTCTCATTTCATCTTGAGACTTACTTTTTCTTATCTTTGTCTCTTTGAAAGCATCTTTAAGACCATTCCATGTGCTTCATTGACTAGAGACACAACCTTAATCTTAATGACCCATAATTTTTGTAGAAAGGTCCTGAGCATTTCTTTCAAGTAATGTTAGAATTTCACCCTAAATTTTGCTAGGAGCAGCACTGTCTACAATTAGACAAATTTTTATTTCATTCTTTGCATAAACTAGATTATTAGTGTTTTCATTTCAATATTATTGGTTGAAGATGTGCAGGTAGTATAACAGATCATCATCAATCTCATGACAGGCTGTTGGGGTGGTGATGGTGGGGTTAGGGTTGCTGTGCAACTGAGGACCTGACCAGCTCACATTATATGTCTCAGTCGCATACCAATAATCTTACAGTCCATTCAGTGATGTTGTCAGCAAATTTTTTTTTTAGAATAATTTTATGTTTACATCATTCTAAAAATAATACAATTATAACTAATGCAATATTTATCATTTACCAGTTTATAAAGAAAGAAATATGAAAACAATTTTTTATTCATAAATGTATAAACATTTACTAAATTATTAAAATATGTGAACCAACTATAAGGAACTCATTATTATTTACCATTTTATAAAGTTTGAATCAACTGGCAAGTGGCCAACCATTCCAATAAATAGTGTAAATAAACACTGATAAATAGTGTTTATTATTTTTGTTGTCAATTCTCAAGAACAAGAAAAATGTATAAATTTACTCTCATATGTGTAATGACAAAAGTATGCAGGTGTAGGCTTCAAGAAAGCTTTATTCAACTGAGAATACAAGGCTTGTGTAAAGTGTCCTTTTATAATCCCAGTAAACAAAAATAGCTCTCTCAAAGAGGAGAGTAGCAAAACAAAGGGAGACAACTCTGAATTATTCAAAACAGCACTCAACAAAAATTTGAGGTAGTTAACACATACATCAATGAAAATTTCATCTCCTTTTACTTTTTCGGGTTATAGTAATAACATTTATTTATTAGCACTTGTAATGCCAAAAGTACACAAGTGTAGGCTTTAAGAAAGTTTTATTCAACTGGGAATACAAGGCATTGCGTATAGTGTCCTTTTATAGTCCCAGTAAACAGAAATAGCTCTCTCAAAGAGGAGAGTAACAAAACAAGGGGAATATTTCTTGACTATTCATAACAATATGTTTAGGCTTTATTGCAATTCTAATTATTATTTTTTTAAAAATAAACATTGCCAAGGGGGGTAGGTAGTTAAAATAATAGCGGTATCAAGGTAAATACCATCCTTTTGAAACTCAATTTTTTTTGTGTGTATGAAGGTCCAAGTTTGGTAAAAAATCAATCCACAGAGACTCATATTTACTTATGTCCTGAATAAATATGACATTAAAAATATTATTTCGCAGCTTTCAGTGAACCTTAACTTTTCTCAAGTATTCTAATAATTACCATTATTAATTTTTCTCTCATTTCACTGTTTAGCCCACTGATTGTGCAGATCATAAAATTTATATATATATATATATATATATATATATATGGTTCAAGAAAGTTTGGTTGATTTTTATATGTTTTCTCATCATCCTCATTTTTATCAAAATTCAAACTTCAAATTTGTCTTTTGTTTAAATTTTAATTATTCAAAGTGAAGTTTAATAATTTTAAACAGTTTCTTTATTTTCTATCACAAGAAGTGTAGGTTAGAGTTAGGGGAGAAATATTTGCTGAAGGCAGTACATTTTCTTTTTCAGGTCCTGGAAATTTCTGAACATCACCAATCTATCTTCCGAATCATCAGGGCTGGTATGTACTACAAATGACTCCCTGCCTTTAGCACAGGTAGGGTCAAGCCGGATTGGGGACCCCAGACTGTACTTTGTGACTTTTACTTTTCTCTACCTACAGTTACATACATTACTAATTAAACTAAGTACAAATCACTATTAAAGGATGAACATTTTTGTGGATTTTGATGTCATTCTGGGGACTTACTTTTTTTTTCTTTCCAAATCCAGGAATTTGTTTTGCTCAGGCTAAATCTTGAAAAGGCAGTATATAAAATTCACTATTTTTTCATCCATAATGTTGAATGTGTTAAATTATTCAAATTTTTACTAAGAAAAATCTCAAGTTGATGTTAAAAGTTGCCACAAAATATTGTTGATTTATTTAAGATGGAATTATCTATTATGACATGTCTCTAATTTGTATTTAGATACATTGTATTTATTTCCAATTTTTCTAGTTGAATTGTTCACCTATATTGCATATGATCAATTATTGTACATCATAAAAATTTGTATTTTATATGAATACTACCTTATGAAAATTGAGATGTAGTGGTGGTGGCAGGTGTATCATAGATTCGATGGGGGGTCACAAAACCCTTTCATCAACCCTGCAAATCATGATATATTAAACAACTTAGAAATTAAAAAGAAAGAAATATTATTATCACAGTGTTTTGAGTTAAACTATATCCAATTTGATCTGTCTGTAATTCTGCACATATTTATATAGGTGTTGTGGAGTGATTTCACAGTGGAGGCTTGTATTTGTACTAAGTAAGGTCCTAAAATAGGTTCAACGCGTACAAAACGTTAGGAATTTGATATAATAGGTATAATGCAGACATAATCTAGTTGTGGTCGTTTGATACTTTAGTATTTTATAACGGTCGTCTGACATCGATTAAGAGTTAATTTCCACAATGATTTTTTTGGAAATTTTACTACTCCTACTTATTATAGGTGGGAGAGTCTATTAACTATAGAATAGGTGTATTTTGGTTATAACAATAGGTAAAAACTAAATCTGTAGCTTAGTGATGAATAAAATGTAAAGGCATTTATTTTCAGCATAATCACCTTTTTGTCAAAAACTTAATTCAATATTGAATATTAAAAATCAGATTATTAAAACTTTTTTTATATTTGAAAAAATAAAGTACAATTATGTTTTATTCCATTATATATTCACTATTATTTGCAATGATGTATGGGGTAAAACCTGAGTTCCAAAATTTTTTCCTAAAGGGTTTTTTTTAAAATAAATATTTTTAGCATTGTGAAGATAAAGGTGGATAGCAATTTTCAATATTTAAGATAACATTAATGCATATTTTCTTAACATTGCAGCTGTTGGATGTATAAATGTGTATTTAGTGTTTTGTTGCATTTGAAGAGCTCAACATGAATAATAACCCTGATGATCTCATCACATATGAAACATTTACCAATTCCATAGAACTCATTTTTTTTGGGGTTTGAAAAAAGATTTATCCACTGTTCTTTGTTATTGTGTGTTAGGGTACTTCAAATTAATTCTTAAATGTTACATATGGTTAGTGGTTAGGATGATATATTTGTCATTACAATTGGTTTCCCAAAATGGAATTACTCATGACTAAACCTAATATAACTAAAGTAATTACAAAATAATTTAAATATTGTGGTCATTGAGTTTATATTTAAAAGTATGGAAGATCATGTTGTGCAAATTTTCCCACATAAAAGAAAATGTAACTGACTTGAAAATCAGAATTTGAGTCTGTTGTTTTTACCGGGGCTTAAATACAGACAAGTAATACTAGTGGCAAATATACATTTATCTACCAAATACTTAAGTTTAGATTAGTTTTGCACAGGTTCAAATGGGTGGAAATGAGATTGAGAATATTTTGTTTCATTGTATAGAAGGAAAGGAATCTTCAGATTCTCAAATCTTCTTATTTCAACATCTATGTATTTAGAATATATTTTTTTTTTTTTTAATTTATGAAAATGAAATAGAACATTCAATACAAAAAAAAATCTGTCTCAGGTTTAAATCAATTTTAAGATATTTTCTTTTTTTAGTTTTCAAATAGAATGAATGTCTTTAAAAAATATCATAATTATGTCCAATAAAACTATATCAACAGATATATATTAACATTCACAAACATATACCTAAAACTTATTTAAAAAATTACTTTTTTGCTAATTATTGAAATGTCTTTAAAAAATAAAAAAAAACAATAAACCTTTTTTTCAAATCTTATTTGTATTACGGTTTCTTTCATTTGAGAACATTTTTTTTCTGTTTGTAACCTTCTTTTAAGGATACAATCTTAAAAAAATTTAAAACAAGAATTATCAAGAAATGTCGATTTTGTGACAGACTTTGAAATCAAAAAAGGCCTACCAACCTGTATGCCTTGAAAATCAGTCTTATAAAAAATCTATATATAAAAGGTATGTGTGGATGTGTGTGTGTAATGAATGCACGGATTGCAATTTTCGACGGATTTATAATCCAAAATTTACATGCACATGCTCCAAGTTAGGGAAGGCCAAGACTGACTTTTGCATTTCCCAACTACCATCGATAGTGGAAATAATCGATTTTTTTCATGCTTAACGGCATTTTTTAATTTAGTTACACAGCCATTTTCTACTGGCCAGAGTGAGAGCCTATAGCTGGCTGCCATGAATAGGCAGGAAGATTCTATTGGCCAGCGTGAGAGCCAACAGCTGACTGATATGAATGTTAACTAGCATGCTAGCATGCAAAAAAAATCGATAGCTGCATTCGTCACAAGTGGGAAAATTTAAATCTGCATGGCACTTTACTCCAATTGGCTTATTCGCTTGTTTAAACTCAACGTTGATTCTGATTCCGCAGAACTGGGTTGGGTGTGAAAAAGTATTTGTTGTTAACATTCTTTTTTCATTCGTTTTTCCAGTTACTGAGTCCTTTTTAAAGCTGATCGTTTTGTGTTCATTTTGTTTAATTTTTTTTTGTAACAGATTTAATGTTTAGTATAGAGCTTAGAAAAATTTTGTGTGTGAGATAGGCAAGAGGTAAGGCATATAGCAACATGAGCATTTTAAAAGGGCATTCCTTTAAAGTCAAGGAAGGCAAAAATATTTTAAGTCAAGTGATAGCGATTGCTGTATGAGTTCGTACGATTTTTGAATCAAAGAATAGGGCAACGCCAGGCCATGCTGCTAGTATTTAAAAAAAATATTTTTCATGGTTTTGGTTTTATTTTTATATATTGTCAAGAGTATAGTTATGATGTGGCTGTTATTGTAATTATTATCATTGATATTGCTGTGACTATAATAATCAATTTTAATAATCTTAATTTTTATTAATCATACAAGTATTGTTAATACAATTATTTTAAAAAATATTATTTAATAATTTCCATGCTACATCATGACTAATTATAAAGTTAATTATATTTTTTTTTTCATCTATTTAAAAAAAAGTTTACAACCTTTTTCTTTCATGAAAAATGTCCTTCAGGATTTAGTAAAGATTATGGTCCTCCACATCTTCCTGATTTTGTAACTCTTAATAAGTAAAATTTTTTGTTATTTCTCCTAATTTAATTCTACCATTCATTTATTCAAGCTCATCAAGTATGTCTATGCAAATTTTCTGTTTCTTTCACCAATTGGTATATAAAAAAGTAATCAAATTTTTCAAACCTTCCAGTCCTCATTATGTACAAAAATCAGAAAATTTTAACTAAAATTTTCAGATGTTAAGTATATGTTTCCTTTTTGTTTATTTTAAAAAATTTGTTGTTGCTCATATGTTGGATACCATGGTATCCTTCATCTTTCTGTAGAACCACACATTTCTGTTGTTCAAGTAAAAAATTAATTTTTGAGGAGATTGTCCAGAATTTTTTGACCCATACAGGAGGACAGATATCACATAACTGTTCAATACTTTTTTAATTTGTTATAAACATTTTTTTTTCTCTTTTTAAAATTGCTTAGCTTTTGGAATGCATCTTTGGTCATCCTAATATGTCCTTGGATCCCAGCATTGCACTTTCTGTCCACTGTTAGAACACTTTCCAGTTACCACATGATATTGAAACACCAGTTTCCTTATGATCGACAAATTTAAGCAACATCAAGCCTGGCCAGTGCCTATATTGGGAATATCAGGGGCTGTAAGCTTAGATTTGAAAGAAAAGGAAGATGTGGAAAAGCCATGATCACCTATATCCTGAAGGGAGAGGGTGTTTAAAAAAGGAAAGGAAGCTGTGGAGAGTCATGATCGTTTATATCTTGACAGGATAGGGCAAGTGAAAAAGAAAAAGAAGCCGTGTCAATTTTTCATGATCGAACCATTTCAAAATTGAAGGGATAAATTAAAAAAAGAAAATTTTAAAATTCATGATCATCAATACCCTGAAGGAATAGGGTATTAATAAAAGAAAAGGAAGCTGTGGAGAGTCATGATCATCAACATCCTGAAGGAATAGGGTATTAATAAAAGAAAAGGAAGCTGTGGAGAGTCATGATCATCAACATCCTGAAGGAATAGGGTAGAGTTTAAAAAAGAAATATTTTGTGGATAAAGTCATCATCAACATCCTGAAGGAATAGGGTATTAATAAAAGAAAAGGAAGCTGTGGAGAGTCATGATCATCAACACCCTGAAGGAATAGGGTATTAATAAAAGAAAAGGAAGCTGTGGAAAGCCATTACATCCTGAAGGCAAAGGGTATTGAAAAAAATCAAATATATACTCCTGAAGAAAACTGTTTCCTTGCTTCTTGTCTTGTTTTATGAATTTAATTTACTCTTTCCAGTGCAAACAGAGAAACATAAAATTGTCTTTGGCAAAATAAAGATTTTGGCAAGTATATTCTGAAATTCTTCAAAGTCTAGTCTTATACTTAGTTTTCATCAAATGGCATAGATTTGTATTTTTTTTTTTAATCCCAGTAGTACTATATCTTCTTCTAGATGTTGTGTCCCTTCATGATGTGAGTGATCATATTTCTCCACAGTTTCCTATCATATTTAGGTCTTAGCAATGTTTATCTTTTTGTTATAGAGTAGTTTCACAGTAGAGGCTTGTATTTCACTCAGTCGGTCCTAAAATAGGTTCGATGTACAAAACGTTAGGAACTTGATATAATAGTTAATGACACAGCAATCTAGTTGTGGTGGCTGATACTTTAATGTCCGACTAATAGTCGGACGGCATCGACTGACCAACTTCCTGAGCGACTGCTACTACTCCTACTTATTATAGGTGGGAGAGTCTATTAACAAGAGAATAGGTGTGTTTCACTCGTTAGGATTTTTTTTTAATCATTTCACCCCAAGCAAGGTAGTAATGTCACTAGTACGCAAGGGGTTACATGGAGTGAAAGTGTAAAAGAAGGCTGAGAATAGAGAGGATTGAGGAAAGGATAAAAGGTGAATTAGGTTCAAGTAAATGGAAGATGGAAATTGATGTTGGATTAAAATTTTTGAAGAGTGTAGTTATAAGGGAAACAAGGAAATGGAAGAGAGTTCCACAGGTTGGAAGTGCGAGAAAAGAAATTATTTGAGTAGAAATGACAGTTGCATTTAGCTATTTCAACAGTAAAATGGTGGAATCTAGTTGCCAATCTAGTATCACTCTTAAATTCATCTAATCGAGGCACCAGGGAATAAGCTTATAACAGTTGCCATGAAAATATTTGTAAAAAAGACAGAGGGATGCTACGTCACACCAGTAAGAAAGTGACTGAAGTCGAGATGCCAGGTCAGGACCGATTATGTTACAGATCCTTCTTTGGTTTTTGTCAAGAATCGAGATGAACAGCAGAGGAACCAAACCAGATATGGCAACAGTATTTAATGTACAGGCAAATGGTAGATTTGTAAATGTGCACAATGGATTCTGATGAGAAAAATTTTCACAGTGACCTAACTTTTCTTGCAGTAGATGAAGCTACTGATTCATTATAGGCGCTCCATTTCATGCCAGGCTAAGAAGGTGTAGTGCGTTGCTCACCTGGAGTCTACCATCAGCCATACTGATGGCAGGCAGAAAAATTTCTCTGTGGTGGTTAAATGAAAGCAGTTTTGTTTTGGAGGCATTAAAATTTACAAGGTAGTTTGCTGTTTCCCTCTGTGAGTCCAGTGAGTGACAAATTTTCCTTACCTTCATTATGTGTCCGAGAAATTTCAACTGTCTTTCTGATTTCAAGTATAAGTGTCTTTTTCATGAAAACGTCCTTGTTGCTAACATGGTCTAATCCATGTTATTTTCAGCATCTTTCTATATAACCACATTTCTGTTGCCTCAAATCTCTTCATCTTTGAGAAAATCGTCCAACATTCACTGTCATATAGGAAGATTGATATTACATAGAAGTTCAGCAGTCTTTAAACCTACTATGACACCTTGCATATTAAGTGAACACATAACAAAAAAGCCAAAATAATTGAAAAGTTTTAAGTTGGGATATAGATATAATCAAGTCAATTTATATCAAAATAATTCAGTTTCTTGTTTTTTGTAAATTTATCAGATCTTAGATATTATTATATTTTATATGATATTTATGTTATTACCATGGTGTTACTGTTGTTATTTGTTCCTGCAATTAGCATTATCATTTTAAGATTGGTTTTTCTTTTTGGAAAATAGGAAATATTTTGAGATTAATATCTCCACTTTGTAAGTCGAAAGAGTTTTTAAAATCTTCAACATTTTCTTTTCGTTTTTATTTCTCCGTTTAGAAGCAAATAATCAACTCAGAATCCAAAATAAAGTGTCAATGAGTGTCAACACTTGCAAGAAATTGTCAATATTCTTTCAAAATTGAGTGCTTTGTAATTCCTTGTCAAGTTTTATCATCAGGTTAATGGTTGGTTGGTTGGTTGGTTTTGTTTAGCAGCATATCAACCTCCCTGGGTTATTTAATGCTGAAATCTAAATATTTTGAGCACAATTTTATGGTTTCAACTACAGATAAAATGTATTGCTAGTCATTTTGGTATAAAATTTATTGCTAGGAATTTTTACTATAAATAAATATTGTTGTTAACTTTTTAATATAAATATGTATTGCTAGTATTTTTACTATAAAAATGTATTTTTATACTTTCATAGTGTTTTGTTTTTATTTGAGGGTGAGTTGGAACACTACCAGGTGCTACCATCCCAGGTTAGGTTGTACCTGGAAACAACAGTAATTAAGAGGTGGTTCCATGTTTCTCAAAACTTCCATACTCTCAGAGGTCTTACTGCTGGATATAGTTTATCGCCACACCAAAGAATGCAGGTCAATGATGAATTCCGAAATGTTGCTTGGATGTGGTACAAGACCGAAAGTATGGGACACCTAGTGAGAATTGAACTCACTGCACAGTCATAATTGTTTGAGCAAGACAAGCTTGCTAACCATTACACCATGTTGAGGTGCCCAAATTGTCAGGTTAATCTTAGAACAATAACTGCCTTTCACACAAGTAGCAATCAACAGGATTTCAATTTTAAATTAAAAGATTATTCAGCAAAGATGTGTTTTTAATTGTGCATCATTATTTTATTTATCTGTTTTTGCTTGTGTTTTGAGAATGAGAATTGGCACAAAGATTTCTTTCTATTTTTTTGCAACAACTTTCAAATTTTATTGAAAAACCCAGCCTCAAATTAGAGTCTTGGTATCTATATAGGTCAACATCTGTGTAAACTGACTGGCCAAACCAAGATACAACTGGAGATTTCACTTCTTTAATGTGCTTTCTTCTATCAGGAAGTGAACAATCATGGCTCTCCACAACTTCCCATCCTTCAAACTTCAAAGTAACATTCATCTCCTAACTATCCCTCGCAGTCAATGTTCTGCAATCAATTTACACAAGCTCTTTACATAGGTTACTAAATGTTTCTCTCTGCCTTTTTTGACTTTAATATGTGAATGTGAAATTTTACAAACCCTCTTTTCTCAAAATGTGTCCCAGAAATTTCAACCATTTCATTCTGATTCTTTATTGATGTATACTTTTTGTTTCCCTTTTGTTTAGAAGTTTCTTGTTGTTCTCAGGTTCAATCCATGCTATTCTTAGCATCCTTCTGTAGAACCACAAAGTTGCTTCATCTCTTCTTTATCTGTACATACACTGCTATATAGAAGATTAAATATTACATAGCAGTTCAGTTTTTTCTTTGTTTCTAATGAAATTTTCCTATTTCTTAATACTTTGTCTGTAACTATATTACCCAGATCATTAAATTTCTATTCATGCTTGATTTCGACATCCCCAACATGAAGCTTACACATTGGAGCAACTATTTTGCTGACAACCATGCCATTCTGTCTTCTGTAAGAAGACAGAATGGCATACTTAGTCCTTTCTTCTATCTTCTTTTATTATATCTGTCTATATTTCTGAGATGAGGTATAACTGTAAATATTATTTAAATTGTCCTCATCTTTATTGTCATATTCACACTCCAGGAATTTTGAACCAAACCCTTTATTTTGTCCATCAGGGTAGATTGTTCTAGTTCCACGTGTCATGACTCTTCTGGATATCTCAGTTTTAGTTATTTCCCTCAACTCTCCATGTTTTGTTTACCTTAGCTGTGGCCAGGTATTGAACTCACAACTCTTTGGATCAAGTCACTGGATTACTTCAACCAACACTTTTATCAATTGGGCCATGTATCCTCTTTTTATGATGTTATATTTTAATGCCATGTTGCTAAAGGGCCATGAGAAATCATGACTCTCTACAGAGATTCCTTTCCTTTATTATCTGGCAATTGTTGTGCCATTTTGCCACAGATAGCTAAGTGGTTTCTTGTTGACCTTTCCAAAATTTGGAATTTAATGTTTTCTTTTTTTTTTTTAAACTAGTTACCACCCAATGGTAGAGAGTTCCGTCTACTCTATTATTTAACCCATAGCTGGGGAAAAGAAGAAACAGATTCATGTCTTTCCCAAGAGCATTTGTGCAAAAGTGTAATATGCCCAGAATTTAAATTTGGTTTGATGATTCCACTTTCCACATGGATATCCTTCTCTTGAATATCCTTTTTCTATGTGCCGTGTCCCTTCAAATCATGGCTCTCCACAATTTCCTGTCTTTTGTAGCTCTTAGTAAAGTTCATTTTTTGTCATCTCTCCTAATTCCTGGGCCATAAGGCCATATCACATTGAATACTGGTTCTTGTCAGATCACCGAAGTTAAGCAATGTTGAGCTTGATTAGTATCTAGATGAGTGACCACTTGCAAATACCAAGTGCAGTAACCTTGGATGTGTGAGTGGGGTAACAGATAATGGCACACAATTTGGAAATCGAAGAACTAAGTTCCAATTCAAGTTGGATTTGTTATATTCACTGACAAAAAAATACCATTGGGAAAGATATGAATCCACCTCTTCACCCCCAGCTATGGGTTAATTAGTAGGACTTGTATCAGTAAATCATTATTATATCCAAAAAATTCTTACAATCTAAAAATATTTTTCTGGCTTTAAATAACCTGCAAAATGTTGATAAACTGTAAAAAACAATTGAAACAATCAATCAATTCCTAATCTCTGTTCTGCCAATCATTAGGTTGGTTATACACAGGTTCTGCCAATCATTAGGTTGGTTATACACAGGTACTGGTGTTAAAATGGTAAATTTAAACTCAATCCATTCAATAGTTTTCTGTCTGCACATTCTTTCTTATCAAAAACAGATAAACAGAATTTTAGACACTAAGATTTCAATAAAATTCTTTTTTCTTACTGTACAAATAATTTCAGCAAAGGCAAGTATCATTAAATTCTGCTGAAACTTTAATTTTTAATTAACTTACAATTAAAATGTTTGATAATTTAATTGAAACTTGCTACAATTTATCTGAAACTTTTGATAATATATCTCAAACTTGCAATAGTTTAATAAAACTTTTTGACAATCAAAATTTGGCAATTTAAATGAAACTTTAATGTCCAGCTGGGGCAGCTGATTTTCTGATTTTCTCACAAAAAAAAAAAAAAAAAAAAGGAAAAGGAATTCATTTTAAGTTTGAATATAAATCCATTCATACCTGCTCGAATGTAGAAATAAATTATTCCAGAATGCAGAAATTAAATATGATTTTTACAAATAGTGAATGAAATGAAATTTTTATACTATATATGATGGACTCTTCCATCAATTTCAACATATAAACATCTGATAACCTCATTCAGTTTTTATGTTTGTATTGTATGTATCACTTCAGTACAGCTAGTGACCGGCATACAAGTCCACATATTGTGCAACATCAAAGATATTGGGATATAGCAACAGGAATATTTTGCCATTGTCTTTCATCTCTTAACCAGTCAATATGAATGATTTCAAAATTTCTGATACCACTCTGGCACAAATATCTCCAGTAATTTCTTTTTCGGGGCAACTCACTCAAAGTTAGTCTGAGGCATACTGACAGTTCTTTGTCCACTGTCATATATATATATATATAGTCATCCACAGGTTATATATATATATATATATCCACAGGTTATATATATATATATATATAGATAGTCATCCAAAGAGTTATATATATATATATATATATAGTCATCCACAGGTTACATATATATGTGTGTGTGTGTATATATATATATATATTTATAAACGGTGGATATAATGGATAAGCGGCATGGATTGAGGAATTGCAGATAATAGTTTTAATTCCAGTCAAATCCATTACATTCACTTATTTGTTAAATAAATGCCCTTGGGAAAGGTGTGAATCCTCTTCTCCCTCCAGCTATGGGTAAATAAGCAGGACAGACTGGGTTCTATAGCCTTGGATGGCAACTGGTCTAGGAGAAGGACAACTCTGAATTCAAAACCTGCGGAGGGTTGTTTTGGGAACCTTGTGGCACTTAGTGCACCAGGTCTCTGTATTCGGCCCTTCAAAAGTGTGGCTGGTCCTGAAAAGAAACTTTCACCACTATAATCAAATCTCATGTGCTGTTGTCGGGCTGTCGGTTTCCTGGGAACTGATCTGCTTGACCCTCATATGTTGAACTCGACGGGAGAGTCAACAACGATGACTATATATATTTATAAATATAAATGACAATAGGAAAACTGTAATAGTTGCCGACACGTTTCGTCAAATGTTGACTTCCTCAAGACCAAAAAACAAAATGAATTTATTTAAACAAAGTAACTAATAATAACAAAAACAAAATGTCCTTAGCAAATGGAAGAATTTAGAGAACGCTATTTTCATACTGTTAACTGAAAATTACGTCAATTACTGTCATGTGTGGAGATATTGTTATTATTGCTGTGTTGACGGATTCAACCATTTTCTTTTGATTTCACAATATTGTTGCGTACGTTTGTTTGGAAGAATAGTAAATATTGTTTTTTCTACAGGTTAACTCTGAGAAATTTTCACAGTTGTAAAGATGACATGTTTATATAGAACAGTAACTGGTAAAATAATTCCAAAACATAAATTCTGGTGTGAGGCCAATTATTTGTGGGTTTTCATACATTTGTAGTCTTGTGCCAGACATAGTGAAGCTTAATAAATATGTATATAAGGTTCTTGCTTTGGAGTACTTTTTTGTTGTACTCATGAAATAATGAAGACATTACAAACAAATGAATAACCCCAAGGATCAAGCAGAGGGAGGATTTGGCATACTCACATGAATACTTGACCTTTGATAATGAGATTATCTATTCCCTAATGAAGAAATATTTGGCATTCATTGAATGAATTACTGTCAGTTAAAATTTATAAAATCTTTCTCTTAAAACAGATTTTCAGGAAAATATGCTTCTCAAGTCCAATGTCATTGTTCTTTCTAGTATTGTTGGAAGTTTCCTTCCAAACCTTTTGTTTAAGGGCATGTGGAAAGTTAACATCTTGATTATCTCCTTATTTTCTCTTTGAGTGCTGTCCATTTTGATGCTAATGGTAATATTCAAATGATGTTTTGTTACTTGGTAAAGTGTTTTGTTTGTGATTTTGTAGTTTTTGTCTTTTTCTTTCCAGGTCTGCTAACAATATTGTGTCATCTTCACACCTTAAATTTAAATACATTAAGTCAAAATAGTGAAAATGCATCACAATTTGTTCATGTTATATAATTCTATCAATATTCAAAAATATACACAAATCAGGAATTAGGAAATATACATGAATTAGTAAGGCAAAAATCACATTAAGGATATTTTTAAATGCAATGTTAATTGTTATTTTTTTGTCTTATGGTCATCAGTAAAAGGATGATTCCAAAATGCGGTTTACAGGTTGTGGACACTAAAATCAAGCAGTTTCAGAAATTTAAATATCTGGGAAGTGTTTTAACAGCAGACAGTAAGTGCAATGCTGAGATCCGAAGACGTATTGTGATGGCCAAAGATGCATTCCAAAAGCTAAGCAGAGTATTACAAGACAGGAGGATTTCTTTGGTAACAAAGAAAAGAGTACCAAGCTGCTAGGTGACATTTGTCCTCCTTTACGGAAGCGAATATTGGACGGTCTCCTCAAAGATGAAAAAGAGACATGAGGCAATGGAGGTATGATTCTACAGAAGGATGCTAAGGATATCATGGACTGAGCATGTTAGCAACAATGAGGTTTTGGAGAGGATGTAAACAAGGAGGAAGCCTATACTTAACATCAGGAAGAGGCAGCTGAAATTTCTGGGACACGTAGTGAGAAAAGAGGGCTTGGAGAATCTGATACTGACAGAGTGAATAGAGGGAAAGAGGGACAAGGGAAAGCAATGCATGACATACTTAGTGGGCTTAAGAAAGTGGATGACAGAACATGACCTGGGGGAAGTTGCAAAGGGACAAATCCTGTTGAGAGCTACAAGGGATAGGGGGAAGTCAAGAGTCATGATTGCCTACGCCCTGAAGAGACACAGCACATAAAATGAAAAACAATTACTGTTCTTTTATTATTCTCTCTCTTTAATTATGTTTTTCTTTTTCTCTTATTGCTTCACACTCAGTAACCCCCTTGAATCTGACTGGCTTTATTACCTTGCTTGGAGTGAAATGATTAAAAAAAAATAATAAATAAACATACATATTTAGGTTTAGAGATCAGCATGTAGCATGAATTCTTTTGCTCTTATTTTGATAAATATTTATTTCAATATACAGTGTAACCCAGATATAAGAGAGTTGTCGGGACTGGAGAAGAAGTCTCTTATATCCGGGTTTCTCTTATATCTGGGTTTGGTCTATTATATATACATTAACACAGGCTCTAATTTGGGACCAGAGAAAATCTCTTATATCCGGGTTTGGTCTATTTTATATACATTAACACAGGTTCTAATTTGGGACCAGAGAAAATCTCTCTTATATCCGGGTTACACTGTAGTAAAACACTGATTTTGTGTGGATCAATTTAATTTGGATATAACACAATAGGTCAGAATTAATTTTGCGCTTTCTTTTTTTGCTAGTATTTTAAAAAACTCATTTAGATTAATCCATTAAAACCTGCAATAAAATTCAGTGTTTATTATAAAAATTAAAATCCAATATTAATTTTAAAAATTAAAATTAAAATCCAATATTAATTTTAAAAATTAAAATTAAAATCCAATATTAATTTTAAAAATTAAAATTAAAATTCAATATAAAAATATAGGTTTCTAAAAGGTATCTGATGTTATAGATTTTTAAAAGGTATCTGATGTTATAAGTTTCTTAGAAAATATATGATATAGGTTTCTAAGAAAATATCTGATATTTTACATTTCTAAAATATATCTGATATTATAGATTTCTAAAAAAAATATCTGATGTTATAGGTTTCTAAAAAAAATATCTGATGTTATAGGTTTCTAAAAAAATATCTGACGTTATAGGTTTCTAAAAAAAATATCTAACGTTATAGGTTTCTAAAAAAAATATCTGACGTTATAGGTTTCTAAAAAAATATCTGTTGTAGATTTCTAAGAAATATCTGATATTATAAGTTTCTAAAAAACTATCCGATATTATAGGTTTACAAAAAATCCAAGAATTATTATTGCTTTTTTCCATTAACCCATTAATGCCCACTGTCCCGTTTTTGGGACAATGGGCATGAATTAGTTAAATCCGATTTAACCCAACCCTGCTTTTTTTAGCTCTGATATTTTATGAATAAAAACAGCAATCATGACAGGACCAAACTGGGAAATGTAAGATCAGTGGCGTAGCTAGAGTAAACGTCACCCAGGGTGGTCCGCTCAAATGTCACCCCAATGACCCTGATTCACCCTATGCTGAATGGTTAGCTGTAGCTAAATTTTCATACATGCTCTACCTCTACTTTACTCTACTGACCGGTACATTAATGTTTAGATGTATGATGCAAGACAAAATCAAATACCACAAAATAATCAGTTCGAATCAAAAGATGAAAACATTGCTATTTTTCCTACTCACAATTTATTAGAAAATTTCTGATGGGGGGGACAAAACTGGGGGTTCATAAATTATTTCTGGGGGGTCATATTCCAGTCTGCGAAACCCTGTGTCTCCACCACTGTTTTCAGACTATTTTTGGCACCTTAGCCTGGTTGAAAAATTTTGTTGGGAGTGACATTGTGTCACCCCCTCCTGTGCTGGCACAGGAAGCGGTCTGCCCCCCCCAGCTACGCCACTGTGTAAGATTATCTAAAAAATGACAGTACACTTTCTTATTTTAGTGTAGCTGAGAAACAGAACAGATACATAAATAAGCCAAAAATGTAAATAAAAACCTCTTTTCACATATCAGGTGATGATAATAATGAACAACACAAAATTCATATTTGCTAATGCGAGTTCCAGGCTTGCTTTTGTGTCACGAGAATAAATAAAAGATATTTGGAACCTAATAAAATTCCATTTCTTTTTTTTTCCTTTTCTATTTCCAGCCAAGACAACACAGATTCAGAGAAAGCTAAAGCTGACCCTTGATATCTGTCCTCACGTCTGGATGCTGATTGACCAACACAACAGTCAGTGAAAGAGAGATAACTTGACCAGACACTTATCCAACCACAGCAGCAACAGCAGCAGCAATTTTGGCTCATCTTTCTTTTCTTTCTCCCCACTTCTTCAATCGTTTCCTATCGCTTTCTGAATTCATTTCTCCCTCTCTTTATAAGACAGTGATCTCTTTATTTTATTTTCTCTCTCTTTCTGCAATCCCTTCCTTTCTTTGTAAATTCACCTCTATCATATTTGTTATCTACTAAGCATAGTTTAGTTTACTAGAAATATGGGGCACCTAGTGAGGATCAGTTTCATTACTAATGATCTCCATGTCTATTTTGCTGACTATTATACTATGATTTTTTTTACTCTTCTACTAATCAGAATTGATAACATCTCTCTCTTTTTGCTTTTTCCTCCTCTTCACTTTCTGCAATTTCTCTTTCTGAATTACATCCTTTCTCTCTAATTTATGAATGCCTACTCTCTTGGTTTTCTTTTCTTCTTATTTTTCTGCATTCTTTCTCTCTCTCTTTCTTTCTGAATTCACTCAATCTATATTATAAACAATTACTTTATCTTTTAAGTCTTCCTTTTCCCAATTCTTTCTTAATCCATTCCTTCTTTTCTCATCATTGCCTATTTTCGTTCTCTTTTTCTATCTCTCTATATCTTCTTTGCCTACACCCCCACCACAGATTTCTTTTTCTTCTTCACTTTCACTCTCTAATATTTTTAATCTTCTCTCATTTTCCAGCTTTTGTTTCTCTTCCTCTCCCTCTGTGATAATCTTATTTTTATCAAGATTTCCTTTCCTTTATCTCATTTTCTGTTTTTGTCTTGGTGTTTTATTTCCTCCACATATATATTTTCATATCATTCAAGCCCATTATAATAACATACTGAGACTGGTGATCAGCTCAGTTAGTGTTCAAGCCCAGGTAAAACCAGGATTTCAAAAACTGATTTTATGCTATCTATTTATTTAATGAAAAACTAACGTCATTTCACATGACAATTTCGGAATAAAGAATCATTTTTCTTCTTTTTCTTGTTGACAGTTTTGATATGAAAACATCTGCTTTGTGGCTGAGTGAGTTGCATATTTCTAAACCATTCCCATGGCGAGTGTTTCCTTCCAAATAAAAGACAGAATTTCAAATGCTGATTTTTAAGATAAAAAGACCTTTCCCATTTGGACATTTGATGCAACATAATCTTCCTTTTTGCTCTTGTGGTCCTGTTCAAACATTACAAATACTCACAAACCTAGTGCAATGGTTGTAAGCAGGTATTTGCTTCTTTGATTCTCACTAGGTGGTCCAAATTTGTAACCTTGTACTAGGTTAAGTATGGTGTAGTTAATAACTTTATTGGGTGCATCACAATTATGGCTGTTTGATTTATTTTATTTTTACCTGTTTATTTTTGTAAGTTACTTTTTCCTTTTCTTAAGTGGGTTCTGTTTTCTTTCTCTTTCTGTTCATTCTGTAGAAGGATCTCTTTCTTTGTCGATCTTTTTCAAAACTATCTTATTTCTCACTTCCTTTTTTTTCCAACACTGTTTGTCTTTTCTTTTATAACTTCCTTCTTATCTATATCCCTCCACCCTGTATTTCATACTTTCTCTTCCTCAAGTGTTTCTATTCCTTCTACCTTTCTTTTCTGTTTCTTATTCTTTTATTCACTTCTCTTTTTTTCTCTATTTTCTTCTTTTCTTTTTTATAATTCCTTTTTCTTCTTCTTTCTCTTTCCTCTTTTTCACCTGATCTTCTTTTCCTTCTTTCTTTCCTTTCTTTTTTTCTTCAATGAACACTTCTCAGTAAACATCTATCTTTATCGCACCACCCTCTTTTTGGGTCTTCAGTTCACTCTCACTTGTCTAGACTCCCCTGATCTTGTTGCTCATCACCTCTTCCCCACACCTTTTTATATCCCTAAGCTTTTCATCCAAGCCTTTACCATCTTTCTTTCACCTCCACATATACTTCTTGCTTTTATTTATTCAACCAGCTATGGTTGCCTTGGTAATGGATGAAGTGGTTTGTGTACAACAACTGTGCATATTTAAGCATCTCTCTCTCTCTCTCTCAGACTCTCTCTCACAACATACACATAAATACACAGAAAGGATGTGGAGTAGCATTACGTTTCTAATCTACCCTCCCCTTCTCAATCTTTTTCCAGACCCAATCCCCCCTCCGGGCCCCCCACTACCGAGTTGTGACCACCACTGCCATTACCATTACTGCTAAGCCAAACTAAGCCAGTCCTGACCAAACCAAGTTTTATTCTCTTTTCTCTTCTCTTGTGGAGTGAGAACTGTTGTTTACTTTTGTCTGGGGACCAACAGAATCTTTGGAAACAGTAGAAGCCAAACAATAAACTCATGTCAAATGCTTTCTCCCTCTCTCTTTCTTAATGATTCTTTTTCTCTCTTCAGTCTTCTTGTTTTCTCTTTTCCTCTCTCTCTCTCTTAATCATTCCTTCTTTCTCTCTATATAAACAAAACACATTAATAAATTGCTTGCTCCCATGGTTACCCTAAATAAGGAGATGTTTAGACTCTTGTCAGCCACATTGAATGGATTTTTTACCAGGGCAGAAAAACAACTTTGGCTGGACCATTTTTGTTGAAGGGCGGTGGGGACTAAACAGAAGCTGGTGGGGTAAATGTTTTTCCTTTGTCTTGAATTATTTTTCCCTGTTCCAGTAAGAATTTTCATAAGGCAGCTGGAGAACTAGTGGTGGTGGTGGTGGGGTATAAACTTTTCTGTTACCACCCTTCCCTGGTCAATTTCATCTGTCCCTAACCAATGACTTTTTCGGTATTCATATGTTGTTTGTATTGTATAAAACCAAAGGAAAGGAGTGACTGATAAATTTTTTAAAAATGTCTTTTAGATCACTAAATCTTTTTTGTCATGAACAAAAACTCATATGAATCAGAATTACCATGAACATTTTTCATTTCTTTTTTTTCAAAATTAGTTCTTTCTTCGGACGATATTCTAATTTCATTCATTCATTTCTTTCTTTCATTTTTTTTTCAATTTTCTTTCTGTTTCTTTAATGATGCATTTATATCTTTGCTTATATCTTTTGACTAATCATTTTTTTTATTTCAATATCATTCTATTCCTTCTTCCTTTGCCCAATCTTTTTTCTCTTTCCCTTTCTTCTTTAACTTTTCCTTTTTCCTCTTTCTCTTCTCTGGTATCTTACCTTCTTTTCGGTTTTTCAGTCACCTTTACTTTTCTCTTTATCCAATCAAAAAAAAAAAAGACAAAATACCACAGACATTTCTTTACTTTTTATTTCTTTTACCCTTTGCTTTATGTCATAATAAAAGGAAAGATGTCATCCCACAATCCTTATTTAACAAGATTCACATGCATACACATATGTTTGGAAAAAAAGATAAATATATATTATCTTACAGACAGACATAGTTTCATAGAGCTACCAACAGATGGTAAGTCTTTGTCAATGGCTCTTCTTAAAAAAAAAAAAAACTCAGTCGGTTCTCCCTTAGCTTTGACTCCATGAATGCCCTTAATGCCTTTACATTACAATTTATTTTTGCTCTTAAGATAATAAATCAACATTCTGCTCTTAATAAATGAAACAAATTATAGCTCTTCCAATGTAGGAGTTAGAAAATGATCAGTCTTTGATTTTTCAGAGTAAATAGAAGTCTATAGATGTTTGTGAGGTGTGACTCGTTTGCAGAAAGTAAATGTGGAAAAAGTGAATCAACTTTTCAAAAGCTACTTTTGTAAGATTATATATATATATATATATATATATTTCTATATGTGTGTGTGAGGAGGCATGGTGGAGTAATGGATAGTGGCTCAGATTGCAGAATTGAAGAGCCAAGTTTGAATTCCAATCAAATCCATTACATTCACTTACATGCCAATACCCTTGGGAAAGGTATGAACTCTCTTCTTCTCTACCCAGCTATGGGTAAATAGCAGTACACACTGGATTCTATAGCCTTGGATGGCAACTGGTGTAGGAGAAGGATAACTCTGAATTAAAACCTGCAGAGTGTCATTTGGGAACCTTGTGGCATGTAGTACACCAAGTCTTTGTATTTAGTTCTTCAAAAAATGTGTTTTTTTCTGCACAAGCCTTCACCATTAAAATCATATCATATGTCTGCCTGTTGGTTCCGAGGAACTAAGTTGCTTGACCCTCATACATTGAAAAACGACTGGAGAATCCAGTCAGTCAGTCATATATATATCCTCTCTGGTACTTAGACTGTATAAATTTAAGTGCAGTACAAGATTGGTTAATCATAAGTTTTATGCTAACAGTTTCTTTTCTCACACTTTTCACTTGTGAAACTGTTTGGTTTCTTGCTTTCCAGTCAAGTTTGAAAAGAAAAAAAATTTAAATGCAATGCCAATCGTTATCTTCTGCCTTGTTAATTTCTGTTCTTTTATTGTTCTTGCTTATTAATAATGTTTTCTTTTACTTATATTTTTTCACATTCAGTAACCCCCCGCATCTTAATGGCTTTATTGCTTTGCTTGGGGTGAAATGATTAAAGAAAATAAATATATATATATATATATATATATATATATATATATATATATATATTTCATTTATTGGTTAAAAAAAATTTGAAGAATAATAAAAAAGCCAACAAATGGTAAATATTGTCAATGAAATTAATATTTATTATATATTATACTTTTATTGAATTTTGTCAAGAAGAAATAGATTTTAATATCAGAATTTTTGAACAAGCCCGAGTCCTTTTCAACAATACAAGGAACAAACATTCTCTTTTTGGGACTTATTCTTCCAAGGAATGTTGTTGGTTAGAGTTCTCCCTGTAGAAATTATATTCTCTGAGTAAACCCAAATTTCTGTTTAATCCCTCAATGTGTGAATTTATTTTGAAAATAAATTTCATTTTTTTGATATGCATCTTTCTTCTCAGCTGTTGAATAATTTTCTAAAAGCACGCATTTGATGTAGAGATGCTTTGGAATAAATTGAAATTATTGCAGCAACAGGGAAATTGTTGCTATTGTATCTGAGGGTATTTTTCATGGTTATTGAAATGAATTCTGTTCCAGATTCTCCAACATAAATTTCTTTTTTGTATTTGTTGCAGAAAAGTAAACATAAAAGATTTGAACTATCACAATTGAGAGCCAGTGGTTTGAATGAAACACAAGTTTCCAGGGGGTGTAAAGTTGTTGTCAATAGTATTCAAATCACCAGCTCTGAATTCTGATATTAAAATCTATTTCTTTGAGCTTCAATTCAGTCAAAAGGTTAATATATAATAAATATCAATTTGATTGAAAATATTGATATCTTTTTGGTTGGCTTTTTATTCTTCAAATTTTGTTAACTGGCCTATTAAATCTACATATTATAAGAAGCACAAATGGATCACCTTTCAATTTATATATATATATATATAATCGATATAAGAATTCATATAAGAATATCAATATAATATATATAATATAAGAAGCACAAGTGAATCAATTTCCATAAAAGAAGAAAATTATAAGAAAACAAAAATTAAATAGAAAAAGTTAACTGCAGCACTTTGTCGGTCATTTTTAATGAAACATATATGTATATGATAGGAAAACGAACAAGTAGGGAAAAAGATCCGTTTCCTATTTGTTCACTTTCTTATCATTTTGTTGGATTCATATCCATACACAATCTATCTATCTATCTATATATATATATATATATAAACAATGTAGGAATTTTTCAGTCTTGGGAGAGTATGGAGTCTATCAAAGTGGCTATGTGACACCTGTTCAGACACATTTGTGTCCCTTTCAATACACACAAATCCAACGTTTCTGAATACAAAATATGATATGATCAGCAGTTGAACAAGGCCAGTACACACAAACCCTCAGTTGCACCACCTTGTGACTTCGTATGAACACAACAATTGCCAGCTTCTGAACATTTTGTTCAACCCAATTTCATTCACAAGGTTTGGATCAATCTATGACATGTTTTTTGGGTACTTTCTCAAGGTGCCATACTCTGGGGATCATCATGGAGATAATATCAAGAAGTCACCTCCTCGACAAATCAACCACACTGGGTTTTGAACCCACATTTCATAAATGAAATGTTAAAGAATCTAACCATTTGATCATATATAATGAGAATGAAAGAGAATGAGAACACTTTAGAAGAAATGGGAAACCGAATCCTAAACAGGAGACAAGGAATATACCTCTACTCCTGTCCAAAAGTCTGTGGAGGAGTGTGAACTGGATGATAGTTAAACATATCTATTCCTATTGAGAAAAAAAAATTGTAAATAAAATTTCATAGTTTAAGTGAAGATGTTAGTAGTATAATACTGAAGTAGACTTTAGAAAGAACAGCAAACAAGGGATAATCCTCTACTCCCATTTAAAAAAAAGAACTTTAGTGTGACTATTCGTATTGAGAAAAAAAAATTGTGAATAAAATTTTATAGTTTACGTAGAGATGTTACAAGTATAAGGTTGAAGCAGACTTTAGAAAGAACCGGAAACCAAATGCTAAATAGGAAATAAGGGAATAAATAAAGAGTTTGGTTCAAAATTCCACTGTATATCAACTAAAGAAAGTGGGCATATTCAATGGCCGAAACATTGTGAATATGGCAATGAATATGAGGACAATAGTCCAAATGATGTAAATAGTTACAATATTACACCTCAGAAATATAGACAGATGAGGAAAAAAGGGATAAACCTTTACTCCTGTTCAAAAGACTGGGGAGATGTGTTAACCAGATGATTGGCAAACATATCCACTCCTATTGAGGAAAAATATATAAACAAATAGTAACTAAAACTTCACAGTTTTGGACTGAATTGAAGTAGATTTATAAGGAACTGGAAACCCAATCTTAAATTGGAAATAAAGGATAAACCTCTACTCCTGTTCAAAAGACCAGAGAAGAGTGGGAACTGGACAGTAGGCAAACCTATCTACACCCTAAGATTTCCAAAGACGGTATTCCATTCAGGCTGATTGTTAGTTGCCAAGGCTCTGTGTGCCACCCTCTGAGTTGCCTCCTTGCAGATATAATTGACCAATTGATCGGAAAGTCTCTATTGTATGTCCCAAATTCTGCCCACTTTGTGGAAAAAATCAAAGATGCTCCCATCCTATCCAACTAGGTGGTGAGCTTGGATGTGGTGAGTTTGTTCACCAAGGTGTTTTGGAGAAGGCACTCTCAGTAGTCAGAGACAGATTGGCCTCTGACTCATCCCTAGAAGAACGGACCAGTATTCCAATAGATAATCTGATGGAGATGTTGACTTTCTGTACACAAACAACACACTTCAGAATGGGATCACACATATATCGACAGGATGAGGGCTTTAGCAATGGGCTCGCCATTATCACCAGCAATGGCGAATATATACATGGAATACTTTGAGGAAATGGCATTAGAATCTATATCTCTAAAGCC